GGCCGGTTCTCCTCTCACCCTCCGTGGCCGGTTCTCCTCTCACCCTCCGTGGCCGGTTCTCCTCTCACCCTCCGTGGCCCGGTTTCTCCTCTCACCCTCCGTGGCCGGCTCGGCACCATCAGCCGTCACACTTCTCCTCTCCCGCTAACCTGCAGCTGTCCTAGTTATATAGAGCAAACAAACTTGTTCACTTTCTCTGGCAAAAATCTTTTACTTCAAATGGCTCGTCCGCAGCTGTCTCCATAAATGATTCACTTATTGACTTCACTTTCATTTCAGGGAGAGGAAGGAAGAAAACATAATGATGAAGAAGTGACAGCGGCTAAAAATATCCACGCTGTGAACGCCGCGGCTCCGGCCGGCTGAAGATTTCCAAGGGTTGGAGCACATAACAATGATTTGAGATTTTGTTAAAGGGAACAACCCAAGGCCATTTCAGCTGTAACCTTTCAGGATGAATCCTCCACAGTGCCTGCAGCTACAGAGGTCACAAATTAAAGGAGAGGGCCAAAGCTCTTGATGGTCATACTTCTCCTGTCAGTCACAGGAGTGCATAACTCATTTCATATGACAGTAGGCTAGAGTCCGCTGTCAGCTGACGTCACTCAGCTGGTCCAGGCTCTGGAGGGATCCCAACTTTAATGTCGGGATCAGGGACAGACTGACAACTCATGGGGCCCCCGGGCCATAGGGGATCATGGGGCCCCTGTGTCCTCACCCACACTCAAACCACACCCAAAAAAAAAGCCTATGAAGGGTACCAGGAGCATCTCATGGGGCTCCCTACTGACCCCGGGCCCTCGGGCACTGCCCGACTTCCCGAATGGTCAGTCTGCCCTGGTCGGGATTCCACCCAGGTGCCTGAACCAGCATCTGGCTCAGGGACCTGCTGGGAGACTGAGCCAGCCGTTCATGCCCCCTCCACAGCCTGGTACTTCAGTGAGCGCTGGAGGGTCAGACCAGAGAGCAATGACTGACAGACCAGGACCTGAGTGATCAGCGGTGTTTGATTGCTCAGCTCTCAATCTAGGGGTGTCGGGGGACTGATGCTCCACCCACCTATGTGAGTACAATGGTTTATTTTTAGTCCGCAAACTACTCTCAGGCTAAAACAGACTGACAGAAGTCAAAGTGCCAGACACCAGAAGTCTGTGGTCTTCCTGAAGCTGATTTTGTTTTATTACGGACTTATCCTGCCTTGTTCTGCACCATGTCTCTGTGTGTAGGTGGTCATCTTGGCAGAGGAGCGGGATTTGCTCCCTAATGTCAGAGCTATCCCCCTGATAACTGCTGATCCAATGATCACTAATCTGCTGGTGGGCTAATGATAGAGGTGGAGGAAGCACAGTTCCACAGATTGGATGAAGCAGAAGCAGGGAGATCCTAGCAAAGCAAGTCCTCAGGTGCAGCTTCCTCTCCAGCAAGGAGAACAGTCAGCAGCACGGTAGTGACATCAGCAAATCTGCTGAGATTAGCAGTCAGAGGCAGCAGTGCCTTAGATCTCACATTGCATATATACAGCTACGAGTTTTAACCACTTCCAGTCCGGACACTTTCACCCCCTTCCAGTCAGGACACTTTCACCCCCTTCCAGTCAGGACACTTTCACCCCCTTCCAGTCAGGACACTTTCACCCCCTTCCAGTCAGGACACTTTCACCCCCTTCCAGTCCGGACACTTTCACCCCCTTCCAGTCCGGACACTTTCACCCCCTTCCAGTCCGGACACTTTCCACCCCCTTCCAGTCCGGACACTTTCCCCCCTTCCAGTCCGGACACTTTTCACCCCCTTCCAGTCCGGACACTTTCCCCCCCTTCCAGTCCGGACACTTTCCCCCCTTCCAGTCCGGACACTTTCACCCCCTTCCAGTCCGGACACTTTCACCCCCTTCCCCCACTTCTACCCCCTTCCAGTCCGGACACTTTCCCCCCTTCCAGTCAGGACACTTTCACCCCCTTCCAGTCCGGACACTTTCCCCCCCTTCCAGTTCCAGACACTTTCACCCCCTTCCAGTCAGGACACTTTCCCCCCCTTCCAGTCAGGACACTTTCCCCCCCTTCAGTCAGGACACTTTTCCCCCCCTTCCAGTCAGGACACTTTACCCCCTTCCAGTCCGGACACTTTCACCCCCTTTCCTGCCCAGGGCAATTTTCAGCTTTCAGCGCTATCACACTTTGAATGACAATTGCGCGGTCTCATGCAACACTGTACCCATATGACATTTTAACCATTTTTTTGAGACAGATAAAGTTTTATTTTGGTGGTATTTATTCACCACTGGGATTTTTTTTTTTTTTTGCTATGTAAATGAAAATGTCCAACAATTTTGAAAAAAAAGTGTTTTTCTTATAAAATTTTGCAAATAAATAATCTTTCTTCATAAATTATGGCCAAAATGTATTCCGTTATCTTTTTAGTAAACAAAAAAAATAACCCAAATTAGTTTATAACCAAAAATTATAATTTTTTAAACTTTTTTTACATTTTTTTTTTTTTTATAGTATGTTTTTTTTTTTTTTTTAACATACCATCACCCTAGCAGTGTGGGGTCACCATGGTGACCCTGTACTATTTGTGGGGGGTGATTTAGATTTTTTTTTTTTACACTGATTGCTTTTACACCCATAACGGCTGTAAAAGCAGTCATTTCTCCTTCTCTCTGGCTGCATTCCTGCAGCCATTGAGAAATACTGTATGAGCTGTGATTGGTCACAGCTTGTCACATGGTACAAGGGTGTTGTGAATAGCCCTGTACCATGTGGCCTCTGTGATCATTCACAGATTTCACACGTAGTAAGCAATGATGTCAGAAGTGACATCTTGCTTACTACTCTGCAGATGATCACTGATTGGCCAATCAGTGATCACATGATCGGGACCTCGCACAGAGGTCCCGTCCAACGATCGGTGTTCCACTGTGTCCGGAGGACACAGCGGGCACCAAATTGCGGTGCTGCGCGCTCCCAGGGAGGCCGTTTATAAACGGCCACCCGACCCTGCACTGCCACCGCCCGGCTGTTTATATACAACGGCCAGACGGGAAGTAGTTAAAGTATAGCTAAAGGGGTAAAAAAAGAATTGTTGGATAGAGAGGTGCAAGATTGGAACGGAGTGTCCTCTTAAAAATCTCTCTGCCCTCAACACTGAACAATAATGAAAGGGAGGATAAATCCCCAAATTTGTAACTGCCTCCAGGACAGGAACGGCAGGGGGTTGGGGGTTGGGCGGGGCTTTACATACTTTGGCCCATTGGAGGCACCGGGTACTAGTTAGTCATAATTTCAATTTCTCGATCTTCCACTAAAGGCAGCAAATCTTTTCCCAATAAAATGGAGGCGAAGTGACAGTAAAGGACACAAACCCACCTCAGGGTCGGACTCTAATTCTAGAATTTATCAGAGGAAGCCAGAGAGGAATTCTCACTTATCCTAAATACCGTTACAGATGAGATTTCCTTCAATTCATTATTTTGTATTTTGTGTTTGACACCTTCTGCCCAAAGACAAAGCCAGGTTTAGGGCTCATTAGTCTCACTGAATGGAGTGTTTGGGCAACACAGCTAAAAGCCAACATTGCTGAAAGGAGGATGAGGCGTGATAATCGGCTAAAGCAAACAGACTTGTTGGCTCTGTGGCCAGAGGAGCCGGAAAACTGGGTAATTGGTCCGGCTTCAGCGTCTAACGGTCCCAGTGGGAAAACTGTATTTACTGTCCTTGTGCTGTGGTTAGGGAATAGGTAGCGGGTGCGATGCTCCCTGGGGTCCCTGGAGATCAGTCCAATGGTGTGTTATTGGGGCCATTTACAAATCTTTACAAGGGTGCCCCACATAGAATACCTTCAACACAAATCCTAATCATATCATATCCCTGGCAAAACGCTGAACAAGCCGAGCGCTCGCCTGCTACGCAATCTTCAAATTCCCTATATTCCCAAACTTGAAGGCCTCATTCACACAGGAGCTGAGGCCCGCACAGAGCCAAGCAGCCATGTTGGTAATGCCCTGGGGCCTGTACAAATGGCGCCCCTAAATATAGATTATCATTATTCACTATACAGGATTTATATGGCGCCAACAGCGTGCGCAGCGCTTTTCAAAATGAAGGCTGACATTACAGTTACAGCACAATATGGTACAAAAGGAAGCAAAGAGCCCTGATCCTGGAATCTTACAATCTAGGAAGGCTGAGTGATACAAAAGGTAATAGCTGTGTGGGGAGGAGCTGATGGAGGAAATAAATGGCGGTTTACTAGGTAGAAGCAGGACAGGCTTCTTTAAAGAGAAAGGTTTTCAGGGATATCTAAAGGTGGATAGATTAGGAGACACCTGGACAGATTGGGGTAGGGAGTTCCATAGGATGGGAGAAGCTCGGGAGAAGTCCTGGAGGCGGGCATGGGAGGAGGTGACACGGGAACTAAAGAGCAGCAGGTCTTGGGAGGATCGAAGAGAGCGGTTTGGTTGATATTTTGAGACCAGGTTGGTGATGTAGCTGGGGGGAGAGTTGTGGATGGCTTTGTAAGCTGTTGTCAGTATTTTGAAATTTTATTCGTTTATTCAGTGGAAGCCAGTGGAGGGATTGGCAGAGAGGGGTGGAGGACACTGAATGGAGGACAGTAGAGGGATTGGCAGAGAGAGGGGTGGAGGGAGGTCAGTGGAGGGATTGGGAGAGGGGTGGAGGGAGGTCAGTGGAGGGACAGAGAGGGGTGGAGGACACTGAGTGGAGGACAGTAGAGGGATTGGCAGAGAGGGGTGGAGGGAGGTCAGTGGAGGGATTGGTAGAGAGGGGTGGAGGACACTGAGTGGAGGTCAGTGGAGGGATTGGCAGAGAGGGGTGGAGGACACTGAATGAAGGCCAGTGGAGGGATTGGCAGAGAGGAATGGAGGACACTGAATGAAGGCCAGTGGAGGGATTGGCAGAGAGGGGTGGAGGACACCGAAGCGGAGGTCAGTGGAGGGATTGGCAGAGAGGGGTGGAGGACACCGAAGCGGAGGTCAGTGGAGGGATTGCAGAGAAGGGTGGAGGACACTGAATGGAAGCCAGTGGAGGGATTTGCAGAGAGGGGTGGAGGACACCGAGCGGAGGTCAGTGGAGGGATTGGCAGAGAGGGGTAGCAGACACTGAATATAGGTCAGTGGAGGGATTGGCAGAGAGGGGTAGCAGACACTGAATGGAGGTCAGTGGAGGGATTGGTAGAGAGGGGTGGAGGACACTGAATGGAGGTCAGTGGAGGGATTGGCAGAGAGGGTTGGAGAGCACTGAACGGTTGGTAAGGTGGATGAGCCTGGCAGCAGTATTCATGATGTCCTGGAGGGGGAGTGGCCTATGTAAAGGTCAGCCAATGAGGAGGGAGTTGCAGTAGTCGAGGTAAGAGATCACCAGGGAGTGAATTAGGAGCTTTGTGGTGTCATTGGTTATAAAGGGGAGTATTCTGGAGATGTTGCGGAGGTTGAGGCGGTATGATTTGGACCGAATTGGATGTGGCCCAAAAGGAGAGTTCAGAATCCAGGATTACCCATAGTACCCTGGCATGCAGGGATGGGTTGATGGTGCTACTGATCCTGACCGAGAAATCAGGGGAAGAGGCACGAGGGGGAGGAAATATTATGAGCTCAGTTTTGGATAGATTGAGTAGTCGTCTGAAAGTTTTATTGAAGAATAATCACATCATAAAGGACAAAGTGCACCACTTTGGAGCCACGCAGGACCCCTTGGTCAGGCATGTGATGATCCGTGGTGTGCTGGCAAATATGTACATTGACCTGTGATGTCTCAGTCCCCAGATGGATGTTGCTGCAGAACCCACCACCTCTGAGCCCATTCCAGTGTGTGCAATGGAAATATATTGACATTATCGCCCCAGAACATTGACTGTTTACACATGATGTTTTCCATGCTCACAAAGCAAAGCATTGGCCTCCAGTATATGTACAGCCATGAGTGACTGCATACCCATTAGGAGTGTGGCATAAAACTGCGGCTCAGCTGCCTCCTGTCACTGACCCCCCCTTCCCCCACCCCCATGTGGATGAGCTCTTAGAAACTGACGGAATCCAGAATCTTTGAGAAAGGAATAAATTCACAAGCCCAAGAGACTGGGGATGGTTTGATTTGAAGTTCTTTTACTGCTTGTGCTAATCCCCCCCCCCCCCCCCCCCCCCCCGGTGTATTGTCCCCTGTACCTGTATTGCTGTGTTATCTTCAAAACACATACTCACCCCACGCAATAAATCCAGTGTTGTCCCGCGGGAACCTGCCATCCCGGTGCCACACGGTGGGTCCCACCCCACTATCTTGGTCCTCATCAGTTGGCAGCTTCTTCTAGGTGTAGGCAGCCAACTTCGATGATAAGCTGGACCTGTCCCCAGTCTGGCCTCCAGAGCGCCCCCCCCCCCCGTCCTCTGTGTGCCAATCATGTAGCTTCCTGGAAGATGAAATGTAAGTATTCCGGGTGGCTGCAGGACCAGGAAAATGTCATTCCAGACTAGGCCGGAACGGCAGCAGGAGCAACAGAAAAATTTAATAAAAAGGAAAAAATACAATGTATCCATTCTACTTGGTTTTGGGGGGGTGGAGGGCTGAAAGCAAACAAACTTCCTTTTGGGAGATTAGGTTTGCTTTATTAGATTGTAAGCTCTCAGGAGCCGCGTCCTACTAACTCTCTTTTACTGAATTGTATTGCTACTGTACACCTTTATATTGTAAAATGATGTGTGCTGTATAAATGGAAAGAAAGAAAGGAGGGAGGGAGGAAGGAGAAAAAAAAGGAAGGAAAGGAAGGAAGGAAGGAGGGAGGGAAGAGGAGGGAGGAAGGAGAAAAAAAAGGAAGGAAAGGAAGGAAGGAAGGAAGGAAGGAAGGGAGGGAGGGAGGGAAGGAAGGAAGGAAGGAAGGAAGGAAAGGAAGGGAGGGAGGGAGGAGGGAGGAAGGAGAAAAAAAAGGAAGGAAGGAAAGGAAGGAAGGAAGGAAGGAAGGAGGGAGGGAGGGAGAAAAAAAAAAGGAAAAAAAGGAAAGGAAGGAAGGAAGGAAAAAGGAAAGTAGGAAGGAGAAAAAAAAGGAAAGAAAGGAAGAAAGGAAGAAAGGAAGGAGAAAGGAAGGAAGGAAGGAAAAAGATGAAAGAATTAGGAAAAATTACAAAAGAAAGGAGGAGGAACAAGGCAGAAAGAAAGAAAGATAAAAGAAAGAAAGAAAGGAAGGAAGGCAGGCAGGCAGGCAGAAAGAAAGGAGGAGGAGGAGAAAGAAAGGAGGAGGAGGAGAAAGAAGGAGGAGGAGGAGGAAGAAAGGAGGAGGAGGAGGAAGAAAAGGAGGAGGAGGAAAAAAGAAAAAAAAGAGGAGGAGGAGGAAAAAAAGAAAAGAGGAGGAGGAAGAAGAAAGAAAAGAGGAGGAGGAAGAAGAAAGAAAAGAGGAGGAGGAAGAAAGGAGGAGGAGGAAAAAAAAAAAAAAGAGAAACAAAGGAATAACAAGAGAAAAGAAAGAAGAAGGGAGGAAGAAGCAAAGGGAGGAAGAAGAAAAAAAGAGAAGAACAAAAGGGAGGAAGAAGAAAAGAATGGAGGAAGAAGAACAAAAGGGAGGAAGAAGAACAAAAGGGAGGAAGAAGAACAAAAGGAGGAAGGAGAACAAAAGGGAGGAAGAAGAACAAAAGGGAGGAAGGGAACAAAAAAAGGAAGAAGAAACAAAAGGGAGGAAGAAGTACAAAAGGGAGGAAGAAGAACAAAAGGGAGGAAGAAGAACAAAAAAGGGAGAACAAAAGGGAGGAAGGAGAACAAAAGGGAGGAAGAAGAACAAAAGGGAGGAAGAAGAACAAAAGGGAAGAAGAAGAACAAAAGGGAGGAAGAAGTACAAAAGGGAGGAAGAAGTACAAAAGGGAGGAAGAAGTACAAAAGGGAGGAAGAAGTACAAAAGGGAGGAAGAACAACAAAAGGGAGGAAGAACAACAAAAGGGAGGAAGAACAACAAAAGGGAGGAAGAACAACAAAAGGGAGGAAGTAGAAAAAATAAAATGTGCAGTTTCCCTTTTAGCATTACAATGAAGTTGGTAATCCGTGTTCTGCTGTATGTAAGGTCACCCATGTCTTTGTATGTGAAAACAACCCATTTCTAATATCATGTAACATGTTTCAGGGAGTACAGGGGGAGACACAGGAAGGTCCCCTGTTCATAGATCAACGAGTGACCGAGCTGCGATAGTGAGGAGTGGTGTTACCTTCCTGATACCCGCTCGGGCTGGGTATCAGGAAATAATATAGCTGGAACATAAATATTCTGGCAGTCAGAACTGCTGCCTGTGTATTTTTAGCTTGGTATTTAGCGGTTTGGCTGGAGTTCCCCTTTAACAGCTGTGCTGTGACTGAATTGCTCCGTAACAATGAATCTGGTCGGCGCGGGACATCCCGCGGTGTGACGGTATTGGTCGGGTATTGGTCGGGATATTTGGTGAAATGTTCAGTCTGCTCACATCTCCTAAATAAAGAATGTGAAGAGTCACAAAATATTTTAATGTGAGAGGACTGGAGATTCTCGGCTTCTATTCCCGTCCCGCGCTCCGCCGCCAATGGAAAGCTAAATGTCACGCTTTATTTGCCTTCATCAGCTTGACAACAAGTGCTGGAGAGGAGAGAGGCGAGGGAAGCGGTTTATGGAAGAGGGAGGGTGAAGTACGAGAAACGCTATGCTGAACAACAGAGAGAAGCCCCGAGCCACCGCTCTGCGACCACATCCCGCCACCGCTCTGCGACCACATCCCGCCACCGCTCTGCGACCACATCCCGCCAACGCTCTGCGACCACATCCCCCCCCAACGCTCTGCGACCACATCCCCCCCACCGCTCTGCGACCACATCCCCCCCACCGCTCTGCGACCACATCCCGCCAACGCTCTGCGACCACATCCCGCCAACGCTCTGCAACCACATCCCGCCAACGCTCTGCGACCACATCCCGCCAACGCTCTGCGACCACATCCCCCCCACCGCTCTGCGACCACATCCCCCCCACCGCTCTGCGACCACATCCCGCCACCACTCTGCGACCACACATCCCCCCCACCGCTCTGCGACCACATCCCGCCACGGCCACGCCTACCGTCCCACTAAGATCAGGATAGACTTCACATAGGACACGTGGGGCCTGGTGGGCTGGAGGCCTTGGAGTGAAGACATTGGGGGGGGGTCCTAGAACACTGCACCTTAGCACCAGATTAACTTTTTGTATTTTTTTTTCTAGGCTAAGATCTTCTCTTAACCACTTTGTATTTGGATTTTTTTTTTTTTTTTTTTTTTACTCGATAAAGTGGTTGTAAAGGCAAAAGGTTTTTCACGTCAATCAAACTCTGCGACGGGGAGGGTTTGATGCACTGCGACGGGGGAAAGTTTGATGCACTGCGACGGAGGAGGGTTTGATGCACTGCGACGGAGGAGGGTTTGATGCACTGCGACGGGGGGGAGGGTTGGATGCACTGCGACGGGGGGGAGGGTTGGATGCACTGCGACGGGGGGGAGGGTTGGATGCACTGCGACGGGGGGGAGGGTTGGATGCACTGCGACGGGGGGGAGGGTTTGATGCACTGCGACGGGGGGAGAGGGTTTGATGCACTGCGACGGGGGGGAGAGGGTTTGATGCACTGCGACGGGGGAAAGTTTGATGCACTGCGACGGGGGAAAGTTTGATGCACTGCGACGGGGGGGAGGGTTGGATGCACTGCGACGGGGGGGGGGGGGGGAGGGTTGGATGCACTGCGACGGGGGGGAGGGTTGGATGCACTGCGACGGAGGGGGGAGGGTTGGATGCACTGCGACGGAGGGGGGAGGGTTGGATGCACTGCGATGGAGGGGGGAGGGTTGGATGCACTGCGACGGAGGGTTGGATGCACTGCGATGGAGGGGGGAGGGTTTGATGCACTGCCACGGGGGGGGAGAGGGTTTGATGCACTGCCACGGGGGGGAGAGGGTTTGATGCACTGCGACGGGGGAGGGTTTGATGCACTGTGACGGGGGAAGGTTTGATGCACTACGACAGGGGAGGGTTTAATGCACTGTGATGGGGGAGGGTTTGATGCACTGTGACTGGGGGAGGGTTTGATGCACTGTGACTGGGGGAGGGTTTGATGCACTGTGATGGGGGAGGGTTTCATGCACTACGACGGGGGAGGGTTTGATGCACTGCGACGGGGGGAGGGTTTAATGCACTGTGATGGGGGAGGGTTTTGATGCACTGCGACAGGGGGAGGGTTTAATGCACTGTGATGGGAGAGGGTTTGATGCACTGAGTGTGTTCATAGGCACACAGTGCAGCTCAGGATCGTGCCTACACCCCCCCCCCCCCCAACACAGTCTGTCATCACTCTCTGCTCAGAGGGGGCGGAGAACCGAGCGATCAGCCGCCATGTTATTGCTCAGTTCTCAGGTTTAGAGCCAGTAAGGACAGCTGCAGCATCAAACCGAACCTGCAGCATGGAGGTATGAATGTTTACCTTTTTAGTAACCCCAAACTAGTTCTTTACCCGTGAATGATGGCCCCAGAATTACTGTTCTCTCTCCCTCATTTGTGACGACGCGCCACATGCAGGTATTCCACGGGAGATGAAAATCCCAGAGGGGTAAACC